ATACCGTCACACATTTTCTTTATCCGGCGGATCCATTTATTCGCATCCAAGGGATTAGAGCTCCCTTGGAAAATAGGTGGGTATTATCTTAGAAACTCTTAGAGAACAACCATCCTTTGGTTTTCGTCCCTGTTGCCCGGTACTTGGGCTAGAGGATGAACCCCACTGTTGTGGTTGTTATTCCCGTTTTGGTGTTGCACCAAAATGGTAAGCTCTCTTAAACATTAGTAGATGTCGTTTATGGCATCGGGAGGTGGTGGTGGTGGTGGGTTTGCTTGGCCACCAGGACCTCGTCCACGTCCACGCCTATTGTCCATCTTACACATCAATTCACAATTTAGTTTCATTGATGTACAAGACATCCTAAATATCACTTTAGTCTAAAGCATAAGACGTGTGTAAAATTTATATCAACGATTTCATTCAACTTAGTAATAACCCTCTAGTGGTAATCCATAACCTACAACTTCCATATAAAACCTAAAGCCTAAGCTCTGATACCAAAACTTTGTAACGCCCCAAAACCCACCTTGGATGGTATTTCAATCTATAAACCATTCACATCATGAGAGCAACTAAATAAATTCATCATTAAAGAAATTACATTCATCAACTATAACATTTACAATATTATCCCAAAAGAATGGGTCAACCATGACCATTACATCCCAAAAGAATGTGATCGACTATGATAATTACATCCCAAAAGAATCACATTTAAACTTGCAGCGGAATAATAAAAGATTAATTTTTACATAATCTCAAAAGAAATTTTCTAGTCTAGCACTTAGGAGAGTATAACCCTAGACATACATCTCGGGATCCACGAGCCTGTCTAGTGGAGTTTTCCAATGTATCGGCTCCTCAACTCCGAGCTCCTCCTCTAGACCACAATCTGAAAAATATAGTTTGTAGGGGGTGAGCACTAAGCTCTGTTGTAACATTCCTTCCAAACTCAAACAATGTTTAAAAAACATGTAAAACAAGTCGGTCTCATTTTGCAAATATCATATATTAATTTTTGAAATAAAACAGGAACATTTCAATAGATATCAAGTTTACACAATAACAATAATTTAAATGAACAATAAAATGAATTTTCCAATAGTAAACTATTTTCAACCATAAACCATTTTCCACAAGTTCTTGTGGAGTCCCATACCTCCACAAGCTCTTGTCAAAAACCAATTCCACAAAATAACCATATTTTCATGTATGTTGGTTGCTTCCCACGAATCTACACAACGACTCTACCTCGTTCACCCAATCATAACCACATAAACCACTTTAGGAATGACGTATACCGTTTTCCACGACATTAACAAATCCTTTCCAGGAAAGGTATACCCACCCTTAGCCTCGAACCTACGTGAACAATAACAGTTACTCTCACAAACAACAAACCACTACAAGTGTTAGGAAATCATCTCACCCCCACTGGGATAAACTAACCTCTAATACTCTACGGTAGTGCTCGAATGCAATTCAAGTCCATCACAACAACCTTACAAGAAATGCAATTCCAACCAAATTCTTAAATCATAAATAAATCATAAATTCTCAAATTTTATAATTTGTAATTCAAGAGAACAATTTTAGAAAATAAGCAAGAGATCATCACAATATTATTTTATTACTCAACACAAAACACTAGGGTTTCGAAAACAAGAATAAAGGAAGAATTAAGAGGGAAAACCCATCTCTTTTTGAAAACTAGGGTTTTACGACAAGAAAAGGAATTTCATGGTTATATAACCATAACTTTGTTTAAAACATGGTAATGATTACAAAAATCTCAAGGAATCATGATTTCATAGCATATACATATGATTAAGAGTCAAAAAATACATATATACAAGCCCTAGCCTCAATGGACAAGAATGGAAGAAAACCTCTACCTTTCTCCTTGGCTTTGGTGTGAAGGACAAGAAAATTTGATCTTGAATCACCCTTAAAACTCTTGTTTTCCCTTTCTCTCTTACTCTCTAAGTCCTTCTATTAGGGTTCTAAGAGGTTTGAGGTGAGAATGAGGTGAAAGAATGAGAGCAAATGGAGTGAAAATGGGGTTTTAAAACATAAAAATCCTGATTTTTTAACGATCAACCGGTAGTTCGTATTGAGCTACTGGTAGTTCGGATCCATTGACAACTTACTACCTATTGAGCTACCGGTAGTTCGGATTCACTGGCAACTTACTACCTGTTGAGTTACCGGTAGTTCGGATTCACTGACAACTTACTACTTGTTGAGGTACCGGTAGTTCGGATCCACTGGAAACTTACTACCTGTAGGTCCTACCGGTAGGTCCTGTCCAGATTTGCCTATTTCCTCTCTTTTTCATTTCAAACCCATTCTAAACCCTTCCAAAACCAACCCAAACTTATACAACATACATTTGTACATCAAACATAGTTGGTATAAGTTCCATTGCAAACAATTTCATATATTTACAAGTCAAAACTAAGTTTGAACTAAATATTTACCCGATTCTACACTATTAACATTTTTATCTCTAATTTTACAATCTACTTGGTTCATGCATACTCCATTACGTATATTAGCATTTCAAAAACATAATTACGTTTCTATATTTGATAATACAAATATGAGAGTTTACAATTTTCGATGACAAAAACAAATAATTGGTGAACATTAATTGCTTCTTTATTTATTGAAAGACAAATATTAAATTACACTTCAAATGAAATGTCATATATGCTTCATGAATATCATAGAAAAAGAATTACCCACAAAATGTATATTGTATATTATCAAAATTTTGTTTTACCACATTCAATTGGTAAAATTTATATTGTCAAAAATTAGTGTTTGGTACCTTATATCCTAGAGCAATTTAAAAAAACCTAGTCGAACCATGATCCACATGATGGAAGATCTCATTTCAATTATTCAATGTACGAGAATAATCACGTATTTTTTTCTACACATGAGATATAATGCTAAATACGCAAAATGAGTTTCAGTGCTAGGAAAAAAATGAACCTTTACCATGGAAATTAAACACATAGAAGGCATTTAATTTAGAGTAACTAAATCTCAAGGTGCTATTTTCACAGTGACCTTCCACCATTGATCACGATTGTTTATAAATAAAAAATACTTAACAAATCAAGAAGAAAATTTTCAAAATGTTAGTGTAAGCCTAACTCCAAGCAAAACATAAATTTGTTTATATTAATATATTTATTGCCAAAAATTTGTACCGTCTGCACAGCTACACATCAATTCATATTAGATAAATAATAAAATAAACTTTTATGATGGTTATTGATGACATAATAATTGTATTAATGATAATTTATTATTTTTCATAAAGTAAAAATAATTAATGAATTTATTGTAAACAAAAAAGTTTATGAGAAGTAAATGAAAAAGAGATAGCATCATTAACTCAGGAAATAAATAAATAAAAATATAATACATGGAACAATAATTATTGTGAAAATAGAAGTATACGAGTAGTCATTTGAATATATAATTCATATTATGTAATTAAAAAATAAAAAAAAAATTTCAAACATGGAATAATAATTTTTTGAAAATGGAAGTATATGAAAGGTCATTTGAATATATAATTAATATTAGGTAATTAAATAAATAAGGATAAAAGTGTCTTTAATATTTTTTATAGGAACATAATATGTAATCAAAAGTTTTTCACTTACCTTCCTTTATTAGTAGTATAGATATATTACAAATTACATATATATTATTCCTATATTATACCATTTGAACATTATAGTATTTTTATTTCAATACGAAATATGACCTATATTGTAGTCATTCGACTTGTTTTCCCTCAAAAAAATCTATATTTAAGGTCCATTTATTTATTTATTTAAAATTTTTAAAAATAATCCTTAATTATATAGAATCATAATTAACGACCTAATTAATGTGTTAACAATTAATTTTCATACTGATCATTATAGTGTGTGAGAGGGAGTTTTCACGTAAAAAAATATATATTTAAGGTCCATTTATTTATTTATTTAAATTTTTTAAAAATAATCCTTAATTATATAAAATTATAATTAACGACCTAATTAATATGTTAACGATTAATTTTTATACTGGTTGTCACAGTATGTGAGAGGGAGAGATAGCTGATAGAGAGAAGTGTGACAACATGAGCATCAAATAATATGAGAGATATATATATATATATATAGAGAGAGAGAGAGAGAGAGAGAGTTATAAGAGAGATATGATTCTTAGAAGTTTGGAAGAAATGAAAGCCTTATTCAAAAAATTATGTGAGAAAATTTCGCATTGTGTTAGATCAATAATCTTCTCAAACGATCTGAGCTGCGTTAAGTTCAAGATAAATAATCTAACTACTTTATTATATATATATATTATAAATTTAAAATATATATTATAATATCTATCTCCAATATGTGTTTAGTTAAAATATCAATACCTAAATCTCTTGGTACCTAGTATAATTGGAGTGGGCGGTATGTGCCCGTCGACAGATGAGTGTTTTTTGTTAATAATCTTGACGATTTATATTTACACACTTAAAAAAATGAGCATTGCTATATAACTTAAATCTGTAACCCAAATTTGTATCCGAAATGAAAGGGGTCATTGGATCGGTGAGTTTCATTTTAAAAAATTGATAGGATCTACTTATTCAATGATCACCCTTTATTTTAGATGAAAATTTGAGTTACATATTATTTTCCTTAAAAAATATATGGGGCATTAAATTAGGATAAAGTAAAGTTATAGAGATGTATTGAAAAATTTGAAACGCTCGAAAGTTAGATGTGTATTTGGCTCTAAGTAAATTAAATGTATCACGGAATAATTATTAAATGTAATGGTTAGAGCATTTTCATTTCTTTTTCGTTTTAATTTTTATCCTATTTTTTAAATTTAAATCGGACGGACACAAATCAACACCAAAATTTTTAATGGTGAGTTCACCCACCACCGTCTAATGAGAAATTATTTTACACTCTTTCTCTCTCCCCAATGTCATCTGTCACCGATGTCAATCACGAAAACGCACCATTACAAAACACCGCGAGCGAATCGAAAACATTAGAGAGAGGGAGAGAGAGAGACGAGCCAAGACCTTTGCATTTTGCAGAGCATTACAAAACACCACGAATTGAATTCTAGATTTCTGTAGAGAGGGAGACAGAGATGTGGGAATCGATCTGCCTAACGTTAGCTGCTACCGCCGGTAACAATATCGGGAAAGTCCTACAGAAAAAGGGCACCGTCATTCTTCCCCCACTATCTCTCAAATTCAAGGTACTTCCCTTCTCTCTCTCTCTATGTATATCTATATATATATATATATGTATATATAGGTGATGAGCACAAACGCATGCATTCATGTGGTCTTCTATGTTACTATCAAAATTCGAAGTTATGGTTTCATTTAATTTCTTCTTTTTTTTTAGAGAAAAATGGAAGCTCCTATTCTAAATCCAATTCTTGGGGTTTCTATGATCTGGAGACTAGGTAAGAATGATATTAGATGCATTCAAGAAGAACAAGTTTTTGTAGTTTTGTTGTGGGTGGCCATCACAATATCACATGGCAAATATGGTGTGTCTCGGCACATATAGTTAATTGGGGAAGTTGAAGATCTATTATTAACTAGTGTTGGTGTGTCTCGTCACATACAGTTCACCGGGGGATTTGAATATTCAAGATTAACTAGTGTTGATTTAATTACTGTTATTTGTAATATTAACCAAGAGTTTCAAATTGAGAATTAATGTTTTTTATGTTGTGTTAAAATTTTCCAAATGTAGTGGTTAGCGGCTTTGAAAATTTCATACCTAACAAACCCACAATTTTTTTAAGAATGTGACGATGATTCCTGGAACAGTAATGCAATGTTTACCAAGTTTTCCATCCCAAGTGATGTGGCACAATCTCTATCATTGAATATTAATGGGACCCATTTATGTGATGGTGAAAATTGTGCCACATCACATGAGATGAAAAATTTGGTGATAAATTTTATTCAGCATAGCATTGTTGTTCCTGGAATAAACAACAATGCTAAACAACATCAAATGGGATGAATAATCGTATCAGTTATTAAATGAATATCAATTGAGGTTCTTTTGGAAATTGAACTATTGGCTAACAAAACTTGCTTGTGGAATGATGAAGCTGAGATTTCAAGAAAAAAAAGAAGAAATGCATCATAGAATATGGAGAAAAACTAGAAAAATTAATATTTGAAGCTATACAAGCATGCAAAAAAGGAAGTTAAAAAACGTTAACTAATAATATGATATTTTGTTGTGAACTAGATACAAAGGATGAGGAAAAAAAATATGTATAGACTTGCTAATTAAGGGAAAGAAAAGCTAGGCATATCAATTATATTAGGGGTTAAAGAGCTAGGATTCAAGACTTTTCACACAAAGTGAGTGAATTGAACAAAGGTGGTAAAATTATTTTGAGAAGTCATCAAATGAAAATCATAAGGAGAGGTTCTCAGATATGATGATTCATCACTGTTCCATAAGGACTTGATGGTAATCGTTGGAGGAGGTTCTCATATATGATGGTGGAGATGTTGGGTGGAGGAAAACAAGGGTCCTGAGAAGTGATTAAAATCCTGTCACTTACTGAGATGCATAGTTGTCTACCAATGGTGATGCAAACAAAATTCAGTTGGATCGAAGAGGTCCTAGAAGGGAAGTAGAAAGTAGAATTGATAGTCTCAATGATAATGCAAGAAGGTTGACTAGAGTCTTGGTTGGAAATAAAGGCGATGAAAGATTTAATGATATCATCGGGGGTGGGGGGAGATCACGGTTACAATCCTCTGTTTTTGAAAAATGGAACTATGTAATATTTTGTGCAAGGAAGAGTATTTTTGTGTCTTGGAAATCCATTTTGATTGTTTTGGAGAATAAGTTTAAATCCACACACAGTCCAAGTGATATAGGGTATTTGTTTTTTACCGTAACATGATTCAACTTTCTATAATTCACATGCAGTCTAATTGTCTCATCTTTCTTCTTCACAAAGAAGAATGGTGCACTGTGCACCCCATGGTGAAATACTTAGAGGAATAAACCCCATGGCAAGAATTTTATCCAATTGCCTCTGTAACTCCTTCAATTCCAATGTTTCCATTTGGTAAGGAGCAATAGATATCGACTTGGTTTTGGGATACAAAAAAATGATGAACACTACTTCTATTCAAGGAGGTAATCTAGCTAGTTCCTTAAGGGAATGCACCACGTAAGTCTAACACCACAATTATGAAGTCGGTTTGGAGTTCGTCCCTTTTTCCCTCTAATATACTGGTTAACAAATTCAACTTACTACCTGCCTTAGTTTTTAGAAAACGATAATTGTCGTAAGGAATGAATCAAAAGAATCTTCCTTATTTTTAAGCTGAATTCCACGTCCTTTGGTGTTGCTTCCAAGAATAATCTATGACGGCATAGTATGAGGATAACAAGTATGTCCCAAATATCACATCATATATTATCATTTCTAATGGAACCAAATCTACGATCAACTCTTGCTCGCCAATTCAGAGCACACAACCTTTATATATTATTTTTGTTTTCATATGTTCCGTCGTAGGTAGATTCACACTCATGGTATGTTTCAAGTTTCAAAAACACTACCCAAAGTAATAGCACTGGTTGTATTTATGAAAGAGTGTGTTGCATCAAGATCAAATAAAATATGTGCTCAAGAATTATACACAAGAATCAGGGGGAGCTCAAGAACATACGAGGTCTAAAGTGATAAATGTTAATGAGTATTTTATTTTTATTTTTATTACTATTCTAAAATTTTAATTTTTTGAGATTAAAAATTACTAATTAAATTTTATATCCAAATTATGCAAACATATTTTTTGAATTGATAGTATAACATTTGAGAATAAATATTTTGATAGGATTATAATCTATTATCTTATTAATATTTTTGTGTTCTTATTTGTTTTGTATATACTTCACCGAGATTGTGGTATTACATGACTATTATTAGTAATATATTCATTTTTATCTTTTCGTTGAATTATTTCACTATTTTTAATTTATAAGGATCTTTTACTTGTTTATATTTGTAACTTTCAACTAAATTTTTGTTCTATTTTATTTATTACAAGTAACAACTTTATGAAAAGATTTTTTTTTTTTTGAAATTAAATCATTTTTTTTTTGGGATCTTTTATAAGAAGGAATAGTTTGCTTGGTGTTTTGTACTGAAATAACAATAAAATTGAGTTTGAGAGAAGTAGAGAATGTGTTGGGTTTGTTTTTGTTTTTGTACAAGAGAGATAAGATGGATGCTTATGACATTGTTTTTGGTAGGAGAAAGTCAAAAAATGATTAATGATGTCCGATTTTCTTGTTAACTTTTTTGGTCCTTCAATAAATGTGATTGTATGAAGTAAGTTGGACTTTTGGGCCTAAATTATAAAATTATTTTTGCTGATTAACTCTTTCAGAAGCCTTTTTTTGGACTAAATTATATTGAGTTTTAATTTTTGACCAATACTACATTATCGACCTCTCAAATTTGGGGCTAATACCCGCGCTTTTTTTTCTTCTACTATTGAGCCGGTATTGACAAGAATGAGACCTTCATCCACGACTGCACTGTTTGTGTCCTTGTCAGGTTGGGTCATGGTAGCCATGAGCATCAACACCTTGTGCCCTACTTCCGTGTCTCCTTTGTTGTAGTTACTTCGGTGGTGGTGGCCTGTACCGAGTCTGATGTCCAATTGTTTGAGCTGGGGGGTGAGCTGTTGGGGTGGTGTCCGGTTGAGCTACTAATAAGAGTTATGGCTAGCCTTTCCCTAAGACGAGGGAAGTAATTCCTAACATGACCATTACGATCACAATTGAAATGTCATCTTGGGCACTCCTCCCAACTTTTGAATTCTGTACTCGACTTTGTCTACTCGTTTGACCAGTAATTTGCTCTAGATGATGGTATGGAGTTGTTTGGACCTCCACAACATTTCTGTTGACTTTGGGTCTCTTCTACTTCTATTTCCACCAGATAGCTCTCTCAGTTAACTCTCCGTAGTCCATTAGCAGAAGGGCTGCTAATTTTTCCCTGATTAATTGTTCCAACTCATGTTCAGACTTCTTGGCCTTTTTTGTCTCGGTGGAGACAAACTCTGTAGCATATCGAGATAGCTCTACAAACTTGATCTCATACTGCGCACCTGTCATATTACACTATTGCAATTCCGAGAAGAGGAATGAATAGCCCCCCATATAGCTTCTAATTTTCGAGCATGGGGTAGGGAGTTAGGAAGAGTTTTTTCTCGGTTATGTTTATGGGTCCCAGTCATCCCATCCATGGTTATTAAATCGTGTATCGGAAGGTGTATCATTTTTTAAAAATAATGTATTGTATCGTGTATCGTAAGATACGTTGTAATTTTAAATAAATAATAAAAAAATATATATACCTTTAAAAAAAAATTATACACTTATAAAAATATAGCATATCATTAATACTCCACTACCTATTCAAGTTTATAACATAGTTCACTAATATTATAATTCAAAGTTTACAACCATAGTTTACTAATTAAAACTTCAAACACCTAAGAGACTTTTAATCCAAATTTCTAACATCCATTTTGAACTCAATCCATAAAATTAATCAAGATTTAGAAATTTTTATAAAAAAAAAATAAAATTAGTGTCTTATTTAGACAAAACGATGTCGTTTCATCGGTAACGAGGATAAATTAGTGTCTTTTTTTCAGGAGAGAGAAAAAAAAAAACAGGTTTTGTGCGTATCGGTCGTATCGTATCGTAAAAACGTATCGTGTATCGGATGATACGACACAAAAACGATACATAACTACAATCCGTATCGTTTTACCTCTGTATCGTACGATACGTATCGCGTATCGTACGATACTAACAATTGTGATCCCGTCCATGATTTTCATTCTCTTTGTTGCATTCCACCAATGATTAGCCTGCTCCAAGAGATAGGTAGCAAGTCCTACTCGTAGGTCTTCAGCGATGCCCACGATATCCATTATCTTAACCCCTTAGAGCTATCTGTCAGCCTCCGTCAAAAACTCTTACAACACCATCATTTTCCTATTCTCATCCCCAATAACTTGCCTTGAGCTGATGGCTGAACAACTGTGTTATGATTGTTGTTCCATGGTTGGTGCTGCTTCAAGGTGGCTAGCTCTCTCAAGTATTGGTAGATACTGCTCATGGTACCTTGAGGTGATGGGGGTGTTTGCTTGATGACAGGTTGTGCAGTTCTTCCATGTGTTCTTCTTCCTTCTGTCTTGCACAAATAAGCATGACTTAGTTCTAAGAATTAAAGATGTACACTTACACATACTTACCAAGTAATATGATTTTCCTAGCCACTTTATCTAGTTCCTAGCATTCCTAATGCTTTACGCCTACTACAACTATAACTGGCTAGCCACTCCTATCATACTCATGTAAGACCTAATTCCTACGCCCGATACCAATTTGTCGCTCACAAATTTCATAAAATAGTGATTTAAAGAAAATCATTTAATCAAAAAATTCTCATTGGTAAAAATTAAATCTAAAGAAAAAAAAATAGTTATTTAGTTTAATAG